GTGTATGGAAGTGTAAAGTGTCTCTTTCTGAAAACCTCAGGAGCTGCGGGAGATGATCAACCTTCCTAATGCCAGACCTTTTCTCGATCCTACAGACTTCAAAGGCCTTGGAGATGTTGTCAAAGGTGAGGATTAACCAGTGACTCATTTCTGTTGCCGGGGGGGGGGGGTGTCCTGGGTTTTCAGCCCTTTGCAAAGCTGTTCCCTGACCCCAAAGCCCTTTCCCTAATCCTAGGAATGCGAGAGCCGCCTGCGTTTCCTAAGAAGGGGAATGCACTCTGGAAAACTGCACACATTCAGAGGCATGTTCCAGGGACGGGGTGTGTGTGGCTTGCAATAAACTTAAGTCTTTGGTTTGGTATAACTTGTACTGAATAAAACATTTCCCTCCATTATGTTCATGAAACCAGGAGCAGTTTGCATTAGAGGCCAGTATGAGAAATTGCTGTTGTCACTGTGTCGCCTGGTCAGGCAACTGATGGCTTTATCAAGTAGGCCACAAGAGGACGTAAATGTGTGATCGGTAGCCAAAGGATCAGACTGATTAACTGTTTCATTTGTACCGCTTTACTGCGCTCAAGTCTGGTGCACAATTTAAAATACTAAACCAAAAAGATACAGGAGGCTAAACAACAGAGACAAGCAGCATTTTCTTAGGCCCGTGGTGGAGAGGGGGTGACACACGCGCCCTTGGCTTGTGCTGCTTCCTTGCATCAGACTGATAGAGGTGCTCCCTCAAGAGAGGGACTTGTGGCTGGATTTCAGGGAAGGGGGTGAAGGAATGGGGAGAAATGTGGTTCCAGTGAAGGTATAGGGCATGAGGTGATGCCATGAGCAGGCAGCAAGGGACGAGGGGAGCACCCATTTGCTCCAGCTGTCTCTTTTCTGATTCTTACCCCTGTCCTTGATACCTCACTGGTTTAGATGGCTGAAGCTTGTTGATACTTAGCTGTTTGACACTTACTACCTTATAGTTCAAGTGTTGTTGCTTTTTTAACAGATTATGATTGAGGATGGAAAGCATCGCGAGAATCCCGGGAGGGCTTGCACTAATTCTCCCCCACCCCAGTCACCAAATGATACAGGACTAGGCCATGATACAGCTATACCTAGAATGGGAAGAGGTTTAGTTCGCAGCGCTATTAACAAGCTAAACATCCCTCTGTACTTTGCCTTTGTTTCTGATGGACAATCTCTGCTAATAAACTGACTGCCTTGCTGCATGCTGTTAGGATGAACTGTAGTGCTCTACAGGGCAATGAGTCGCAGCAGCAGCTGTCTAACCTTGAGATGGCCGAGGGCCAGAGACTGGCAGAGGCGGCTGCAGACAGCAGGAGTGTGGCTGCCCTTTCCTAGGGGGCTGCTCCCTGCATATCCTGACTGCAGAGTGCTGAAATTCCCCCCCCCCAAAAAAAAGAGAGAGAGAGAGAGAGAGAGAGAGTGCAGAGGGATTTGTGGCAATAGAGTTGCAGTGTGCTCAGAGGCGAGTTTTTATGATGCTAAGTGCAAAGTTAACTATTCCAGGGGGGAAATAAATAAATACTAGGTATAGACTGCTGCTTCATCTCAGCTGGTTTTAAAAACATAAATGCAGCAACTCTGACGGGATTTGGGATAATTTCAAACTAAAAAAAAAAAAGTACTGTGCGAGACCTGAGCTGACAACAGAGTAGGGTTAGTTTGGCCAGCTTAAAAGTTCAAAAATACAGGATTTCTCTTCATAAAATGACTGATAGTTTTAGCAAACACACGAAGATGCATTATACTGCGTCAGATCATAGGTCTATCAAGGTAGGTATCATCGGCTCTGACTGGCAGCGGCTCTCAGAGTCTCAGGTAGAGATATTTCACATGATGTACTGTCTGATCTACTGGAGAAGCTGGGGATTGAACCAGAGACTAGGGATGGGCACAAATTGAACCACAAAGCAAAATTCATCACAAATTTTGCCCTGTTCATGGTTTGTGAACAGAAGCTTGTGACGAGTCTATTGTCACAAACTTTTAGAGTGGTTTCTAGTGGTTCATGGATGGAGCAGAAGGCAGGGGGTTAAAGGGACTCCGAGTCCCTTTAAACCCCTGCTTTCTGTTCCCTGCAAAAACAGCTGAGCGGTGGGGGGGTGCTCCTCGCTGCGCAGTTGTAAGTGTGTAGGATTGGGGGAGGGGAGCAAGTACCTAATGAAAGAGATACCACTCCACCATCAGTGTGTGTTAGAATGCAAGGATGCACATAATTTGTTAGTTTGACCTGCCATCTCAGCTTAGCCCTTGCCCATCTTTGACTTATTGCAGCTTGTGTGTGTGTGTGTGTGTGAAAGGGGAGTGAGTGGTTGGATCAGGGAATCAGTCAATGCTTCTTTGCTGAAAAGAGTTATTCTGACCTTTTGAATGACACAGTCATGAGATCTGTCATGAAGAAGCTCAAGGAGATTATGTCAGTCTTACATTTTTACTCATCCTTTCTCCAAGGAGCTCAGGATGGCATATTTGGTTCTCTCCTCTTACATTTAGACCCACTTCAGTCACATTTCTTCCCATCTTGAAACCATTTTGGGAGGCTCCTGTAACCAGTGCTGCTGAGGATCAGCCAGTGCAGCAGGTCCTGAAGCCATCTTGGTTGCCCTGACTTGTGATCTTTCCAGGACCTCTCAGTGGCTTTCAGAACCATTGACTTGATTGTGTTTTTTCAAATCCTGATGGTTTTCAGAATCCCAACAAAACTGTTCAGCGTTATTGGTATGTGTGAGCTGAGATTTGTCTCTCCCCCCCCCCCGTAACCTTCTGTCCCAAATAAGGCTGTTAAACTCTGATCTGGTGGGCCCATTGTGTTCTTCTGCAGTGCTCTTTTAATTTTCAGATGCTCCCAGGCCCAGGAGACGGCTGACTGAGCTGATGGCCAAAACGGCCTTAGGTGAGCCTGGAGAGGAAGTGGCTGGCCGTTGGGCATCAGCATCTAGAGAGTGGAGCCTGAAGTTCTTGCGCAGCCCACTAGAAGTGTTGCCTGCCACGGATGGAAAGCGTGCAAGAGGGATCCGAATGGCTGTCACCAGGTTGCAAGTAGGAGCTCCTCAGTTGCCTCCATGCCAAAAAGCTTCCCCCCCTTTCTCCTTTCCTCTGCTGTCTCACTCTCTGAAGCTTGATGCAGCCTTTTAGGTTTGGAGATCCCCCCCAGGAGCTCTTTGGCATTAAGCTAAAGACAGCTTTATTTCCCCAGTCTAATTAGAACCATCAGTGTAACTACCTGCGGTCTGTAAGCCAAAATGGTAGCTTCTCAGCAAGCCAGCACTATGTCTCCCCAAGGAGCCACTCTCTGCATAAGGATATGAACCCCCCCCCCCTTTCTCCTTATTGGTCTTGATTGCTGTGATAAGAGGACACCAGCATGTACTGGTGATGGGGCTGCCATGAAAACGAAGGAGCTAAAATGAAGGCAGCGTGGCTTCTGCTGTTGGGTTATTTTGCTATTTCTTTATTATACTTCTGGCTGCTCTTCCTTGAGAGTGCTCGGAGCAGCTCGCATGGGGCTGTAGGGGTGTGTGGTCCAGACTCTGATGAAAGGTCTGTATGTGTTCAGAGTCCACAGTGCTGCCATTCTCTGGCCAAGGTGTCAGTTGGGTTGGCATCACCAGATGCCCTGCCTAACCTTGCCCTCCTCTCTTTTTTGTTTCTGCTCCTGGGCTGTGCAGGGTTCAGGAGAAATGGCCAAGGCAGTTCCCACTGGAGAAGTTGAGGACCTGCTGTGTGGGCTGATCCTCAGCAGCATTGGTTACAGAAGCCTCCCAATTGACCCAGCTCTACCCTTTGATTCCAAGCAAGGGATTATTCCAAACAATTTGGGAAGAGTCCTTGGTGCCCCAGGTCAGTATGGCTAGGGCCACATGTGTAACAGAAAGGGCTGTGTGGTGGAGGAGGGTGTGCTTTGGCAGACTGCTTGGAAGAGCCAGTGTGATGTAGAGTGCTGGACTTTGGCTGAGAAGACCTGAGTTCAAATCCCCTTCTGCCATTTATATAGCAGGGTGATCTTCGGCTAGCCTTGTGTGCTCAGTCTAAGCTACCTTATAGGGCTGTTCTGAGGATAAAGTAGGGAGGGCTGGATTTAAAAAGTACTGGATAAATAAGAGTGAACGGTCTAGGATGATTTGGACTGCAACTGATAACTGATGATAGGTGCACAAATTAATTACTGTTTTGCCAAAACTTAAAGCTGTTTTGGGCCAGCTACTGGTTTGGCTGTGCTATTTGTCCCTGACCAAAGCTTTTACTCAGGTCAGCAACAGCCATACTATGGTTATCACGGTCTTATAAAAAGCACTATAGGGTCCTAGTTTTTGCTTGGGTGTGTTCCAGCTAAAGAATTGTGTTAAGACAGGTTAGTGGAATTCATCCTTGGTGTTTTCGTGACTAAACCACCTGATGGTCTGTAAACTCTTTGCAGGTCTCTACTGCAGCGGCTGGGTCAAGCGGGGGGCCGTAGGTGTCATCCTCACTACTATGAATGACAGCTTTGACACTGCTCAGTTTGTGCTGGAGGACCTGCAGTCTGGAGCTCTGGATGTTTCAAAGGCTAAGGAAGGCTCTGAGTTGGTGAGAAGCATACTTCAGTCTCGAGGTGAGTATGTGTGGGAAAGACGTCTCAACTATTTAATAAGCCAGCTGACTTGATTGGCTATTGTGTTTTAATTGGTGCCATGTTGGCAACTGTGGCAAGTGTCCTGTCATTCACCGTGCCTACCTAAAGGGGATAATGGTACTGCCAACCAGAGGTGATAAAAGAAACAAACAACCTCATGATTCAAGCTCCCAGAATAACACCATGGGTTTGGAATTTCAGATTTTAAAAAGTTATATGTGCCCGGGGATTGGGTTTGTCTTCACACCGCTCTTCTAAAATACATGTTATTAGATTGTGAGTCACTTTGTTCCTCATGCTTGATTGTGGTTTTTAATTAATTTAATCAGTTTACATGTTGTGTTACTGAAGCGGCTCATAAATGAAAGTAATTAACGTCGTGTTCTCCAGATCTCTCTCTACATCCCTCAGAATACAGACAATCTACTTTCTTTTGGTTTTTTGTTCTGACTTGTAATGAGCATTCCTTGTCTTAAACATCATGAGCACTCAGTTCTACTAACTTCTCCCAGGAACCACAGTCTGCTGGAACGGATAGAATCTAGTGTCCCTGTTCAGTTACTTAAGTGTGCGATTTGCTTTGCAACATCACCATCAACATGCTTTGAGATGGGCTTTGTTCTGTTTCTATTGGTGGAGAATCAGTTGAATGTGTTTATACTGAGTCAAACTGTTGGTCCAACTAGCTTATTATTGTTTACTCTGGTTGGCAGAGGCTCTTCAAAGGCTCAGGCAGAGGTCTTTCATGTCACCTTCTGCCTGATGCTTTTAATTTCAGGTGCCAGAGACTGAACCAGGGACCTTCTGCATGCAGAGCAGATGCTCTACCACTGAGCCCTGGTCCTTCCCCCAATTTTTGCTACAGAACTCACCTCATGTACTTTCTACATGTGATGGTTTGCTAAATGGCAGAGATGTTTGTGTAGAAAATTAATCATAGATGAAGTTCCAAGTTGGTAAAGAAGAGGTCCAAGTTGGTAAAGCTATTAGAGGGGTGATGTTATAATTATCACCTTCCAGAGACTTGAAGCTTTTAAAAAAAGGGTGATCCTAAGAGGAATCCAGAGTTTTGATATTGTCCCAGTGTATGGAACCTAGAAAAGGCCAGTATGAATATGTACTCATTTGTATGTGAAACATCACAGTCAGAATGTGAAAGACTACTGGGTTTGGATAATTCTTATAGTGATCCTTCTCTGTCTACCTGGGAATGCATGAGAAAGCCCAGTTGGGTCATTTACCGTCATTAAATGCTTTTATTTGGGGCATGCATATGTGTTCTCTCTAGACCAGTTCTTAATTTTTAAGTGAACCAATGATGCTTCACTGCCTAAGGTAGAATAATGTCATAACTGTCTTCCAAGATACAACTAAATCCATTTTAGCCACACTCTTAAGTCAGCCTAGTAACTGACATGCAAAGCATGCCTTTAACTGACCATCTGATTCTGCAGAGGCTTTTGCATAGAAGGCATGTCGGCTTTAGTGGTTTCCACAGGGACACAATTTCTCTGCCTTTGGGGAACCAGTTGATTCAATCTGTGCGTTCTCATTTGTTATGCTCTGACAGGGATTCATCCAGTTTCCTTTTCGGATTGGGAGAAGATTGATGCTGCTGAAGTAGCAAGAGGCAAGCTGGCTGGGAAGCCTCGAGAGAAGATAGTGGATCCACAGGAGATGCTCGAATTGATCAGTCACTGACCTGGGCATCTGTGCTGTGAGAGCTGGCCACATTCCTGCTGTGGCCCTGTCTCTGTCAAAAAGGCTGTCTCTGCAGAAGGTTGAATCACTCCTCAGCCTACACATGTTCCGGAGACCCTGAGACTGGGCTGGTCCCGGATTGCTAAGGGATGTGAATTGGTTAAAAGCTTGTTGCCACTATAGGCAGCAGTGCTTGTTCACAGCCTTGGCCACCTTTGTGCTTTCCTGGCCATGAAAGTTACAGCTAAGTGGATGCTAGTTGGATTCTGCAGTTCTAGGCAAGCAGTACCTTCTTCCTCCCTCTTCCACAATTGCTGGACTCACAATAATGAGTCACTGGACCCTTTTTCTGGGACACATTAAGTACAAAAAAGTTTGATCTTTTTAGGGGTAAGTAAACAGTGCCTTAATACTGTCTATGTTCTTTTTTTTCTCTCTTTTGTATTATTTTGCCTAGCTCCATTTTTTTTTAAATATTAGGCTTATATGAACCATTCGGGAAAGGCAAAACTGGGTCTCACCTCTTTCTTGAGCAAGTTTTCACTGCTTGTTCAGAGAGAATGCAAACTTCCATAGAACACTCACCGTCAAAATGTGCAGAGCATTCCATTTTTAATCTTCAAACATGCTGGACATGACAGGAAAGCCAAACTTGAGGAAATTCAGAGACGATGCATAAATAGGGATGCATAATCATGGGGATGTGCCAGACAGCAAAGAGAGTATTGCTGGTCCTTCCGCCTGAAACTCAATTTTTCCACCTCCCTGATTTCCTGTAACTTTGATGTCAGATTGCAGTGGAAGACATTTGTATAATCGTCTCAAAATAAAGCTCTTCTTCAAATAGAAGGACAACCTGGGTCAGCAGCCTAGCATTCATTGCCTTATCTGGTGTGTGTGCTTTGGCCTTAATGCTGGTTTGGTGACCTGCTGTGGCAGCAATGCAAAGAGCTAGGAAAGGCAGGGCAGCTCTTCACAAACTTGACCAATCCACACCAATTTCAAGCACACGGTGTCACTGTCCATTAGAACTTGGATTACTGCTGCAGATAAAGTAACATGCATGCCTGATTAATTAGTTTGCTCTGGAGGTAGAAAGCTCTGACTGACATTATCACTGGATTCTTGGGTTGTATATTTTAGAATCCCCAGAGTTCATGAAGCATTTCTCTTAGACTGATCTATTAGAGTAAAATGAAAGTCGCGTTTGTAATCCTTGTTTTCATCCAGCAGGACAACACAGACTGCGTTAGTAACAATTTTTATTTCATGAGGAAGGCACTCTGCCACCAGACTGGAAGTGTATGAAGGCAGTTTCCAGTGGGTTGAATACAGCAAAAGGGTAATTAAACCTACCTTGGTCATTGCTGTGATTTGCCTCCTTACTGTCTCTTTCCAGACCCTGTCCTAGATGACTCAGACTAGCCTGATCTGGTCAGATCTTGGAAGCTCAGCAGAGTCACCCCTGGTTGGTACTTGAATGGGAGACCACCGAGGAAGTCCAGGATTGCTGCATACACACACACAAAAAAAAAACCCTCTTGCCAGGGGTCAAATAGAGTACAAGACATTGTTGGTAATGCAGGGGCCAGTGATTGAATTTTTGACTCCAGGTGGCCTGACTTGGTCGCTACATGGGTGGAATGCTGCTATTTCCTGTAGCGAACCCATAAAATATGAACAACTGCTGTATGTCCTTCAAACCCGTGTACTCACTTCAGAGAGGTTTGGTCCCAGGCCTACTTACACAGGTTTGAACAGCCTTGTGGTTCATGTGTTTATTTCAGGAACACATTTGTATGCACAGCACTCGCTGCTGCTGATTAAAGGGTGGAGACATTTTCTCTTCAGCACTGCCTCTGGCTTAACCTTCCATCCAGACTTTTGTACAGCTATTATCAGAAGTAAGAAATTTGTTACCTTGACTATGCCCCTGATCTTTCCTGCTATCTGTGTTTCTTCCTGTTCTCTGTCTATATCTGCACTTCTTTCTGCTGTTTGTCTTTGTTCCTCTTTTCACCTTGCAGCTAAACCTGAGGGTTCCAAAACTGATGTGATGTTGGCAGTTTTGTGTGTTTTGAACAATGGGAAAAGGGAATCTCATTATGAAGGCAAAAATGTTTGTGAGTACAGACCCCCTACATTCCCTTGACTGACCCCCCTGTCTCCCTTGTCATTAGGTGCTTTTCTGTCAGCTGGGACTGTGATTGTGGGAGAAACTCAGAATAACAGAAAAGCATTTGGCGAGAGGAAAGCCATGGTAGAATTCGGGTCCTCTTACCTGTATTCCTGAATTTGGGTCCCCTCACCTGTGCCTCTCCCTTTGTGATCACAAAACTGCTACCATATCTAATTTGCCCTTAAGCAGCTGTACATTTTGCCTAATTGTGAAATAAATCACATTAAAAAAAAACCCCAACATTTGCTTCCATACTAGGACATTTTCATGTTGCTCAATTATTCAATTACTAGCTGATTGTGGAAAATGAATTGATAGGGCTGTATTCCTCATAAAAGTCCATCAATGCCTACACTCTTAAGAGATCTTACTGTATATTTATCCTGGAATTAGTCTCAGTTCAGCAAAGGTTTCACTGCTCTCTGTAATTTTTCTGTTGTTCTTTTTACAGCCTCAATACTTACCTTGTCCCTCAGAGCACAAGCAAGTATTGCTGAATCTATTGTTAATTGCCAGTGCTTAGTTGGGATGGGAAAAGGAAATTAGGGGTTTCTTTGCAGCCAAAGCTAACACTAGAATAGTGAGTGTTAGGTTCTAGATTCCCCATTGTTAGCAGATCAGAATAAATTATGTAGGCACATACAAATATGTTTAATTTTATATCGTTCTTGCTACCTTAGCACAGAATTGCTGGTGTTTTTTCTTCCAAGGGCAGAACATATGGCCACAATACAGCCTTTCTAGGCCCATGGAAGTTTTTAATGTTAAATTAAAACTGATAACCAACCTATTGCGTTCTCTTGGTGAACTATGAGCATTGTTGCAGCAGGAAGACACAATTTGAATTCCAGTATTTTGGGCCTCATTCCTAATCAAGAGAAGGTACACACATGCACTTGCACATACATACACCAGAATCTCATTTGCAGTTTCATTAGGGAAATACAACAACTGCTGGAAACTTGTATGCAAATGAGCAATAAAGCTTGTCAAACAGCTGCTTATGTGAAACAGCCCTTGTTATGGTGCTAGGTTGGTGCATTTATGGTGTTACTTTCTTTGATCTAGGAATTGCATCAGCTCTGGATTTAGGAAAGTCATTAAGCTGGTTTTGGCAGCGTGTTCTTAGAAGGGTTGGAACAGATCTGTATCACATTCTGGAAAACTTTGACGGTCAAAAATACCCTCTCTTTATGCTAAGACTTCCCTTGTTCGTAAAAACAGAGAGCTTTCTGCATCTCAGCTCAAAACTATCTTGTGCAATGAGGTATCTTACCATCTCTGTGGACTGCAGTGGGATTATATATACTCTGCAAGCAAGTACTAGGCGTAAAAGAGGTGGATTACCTGGATCCCAGTGCCCTAACTGTTTAGAAGATGCTTCCCAGTTTCTAGAGCAGGGAGATTTTGAGAGCCATTAAGAGCAGCAGACACAGAAGATAGCAGCTCTACACAAAGCTGCTATCTGTCATATTGAAATTGACAAGAGAAGTGCTTTTGTGTAGAACTTTCTTTTTGGGATTATGCTTCATGGGTCATTTGGATTTTCTGCCTCTGGTACCAGAGTTCTTGGAAGCGGCCCACCTTCTACCAGGATAGCCTCTTGGCTTACATACGGTGGTATCTCTGAGTCTTCATATAGCTGGGGAACTTTGTGTATTCAGCACTGCTAGGAAGGTGTACAAGTGGGCCGATATCAGCTGTTTGTGTTCTCTAACAAATTAAAGAGAAGGAAATTTCATGTAAATGCTGTATCAAAAAAGCCAGGAAGCAGCAATATCATAAAAACAGCCAGCATCTATCAGGTAAGTTAACTGTAGTGTGCAGCTTTGCTTCATTGTTGAATGGGCCTTTATTTAGTCATTGGCTTTGAGTTTACATAGAGGGAAAGACTGGGTTGCTGGGAAATGAAGAGAAAGATGGGGAAATTGCCTTGATCACCAACCCAGTGCAAGATCCTAGATATTGTTTGTCAGTTGATGATGAAGACAGCTGGACCCCAAAAGCTGCAGAAATCCATAGCATCCCATCACCATATTGTCTACTCATGGGCATACCTCACAATAAGGTTTTGAATGTAAAAGAATCCAAGATGAAGACCAATAGTGGATGATATAATATGTCCTTGTCTGTGCAAGGACTCTACTGGTGTGTAGGTTAAAATCTGCTCATTCTGCTCTATCTTTTCCTGCAGAGTGGAAATTTATGAAAGGAAGAAGAACTGAAGGGGATTGCACACTGAAATGTGATGGAGCTTTGGAATTAATGCCCCCATCTATACAAAGTAGCAGTAAAAGACAAAAAGTCTGTCTTTTAGGACTGACGTTATGTGAATAAGGGCACTCTAGGTGAAGAATACATAAAGTCACAGCATGTTCTCATGCTTTTGAACTATAGCACCTTGGAAACTTGGCCATCCTTCCCTCTCCCTTCCATTCTAAACTTCCCAAAGCTGTCTTAGCCCAAGTCTGTTCTGTCCATTGGATGGTGCTGGGAAGCTAGTAAACATTACATGCACCCTCCGCAGGAAAGCAACAAAGTTTTTTGCTGCATAGAGTGAAAAATCATTGAAGTTTATCCAAGGTATGGATCTGATGTCATACCACTGCCTACACTGAAGATATACTGGGCTGCCTTTGTCTCTGCTTTAGAATCTGTTCTGCCTTTGAAGGAAAAGCCTGTTCTTCAGGCTGGATAAATAACTTAACTTTACACAGTGCAGTATTAAAAGAGTGATGTGACACCTGAAAGACTAGTAGATTTATAATAGCACAGGTTTGTGTGGGCTAGAACCCATTTCATGCACACACAAGTTTGTGCTGCTTTAAATCTGATGCATGAAGTAAAACCTCAGTTAGTGAAATGTGGCACAGACTACTTCTTGCATTTCATGGCCTTTTATTACATTTTCATCGCAACTTTCTTCTGCTCTGGAAGGTGGACATGAGCCCCCACACCATTTTCTCCTCACATCAATCCTGTATGGTAGTCCAGGCTTGAGAACGTGACTGGCTCAGGGTCATCCAGGGAGTTTTCTGGCTGAATGGAGGCTTAAACCCAGGTCCCTCTGGTCTCAGTCCCACACTCTAACCAGTACACCATACTGCTTTGGGTAAAACCAATTGTGTGTGTGTGTGTATAAAAATACGCAGGTTGAGGGTTCACATCACGTGCCTTCATTAAATCTGTTAGTCTTTAAAGTGCCACAAACCATCTTTTGTTTTTGCTGCAACATACTAACTTGGCTACCTTCCTGGAAATGACAA